ACTGAATCGGGTTTACATTTGTTCATTACTAAGTGGCAGAGAAAAATGAAAGTGTTTTGTTGCAACACAAAAATGAGCTTTAACCTTTCATGCATTACATTTTCATCTGCAACATGCAGCAATGACAGCAAATTATCTACCGCATTAGCAGACTTCTAAACGGTACTCTGTAAATCAACAATATAAATATCCCGGAGGTGGAGGAGTAGCGAAGGAATGTCAAGATTTCACAGAACATTTTCTTGCTGAACACCATTCTCTTAAAAAAACTTCGAAAGTTTAATTCAGGGTAATTAGAGACTTGTTTCACGGGTTGCTTCCTCTACTCTTAAAAGGTTCTAATTACAGGATGTGCAATGTTTGGCTGAATGGCAGGAGGAAAGAAAAAAGATCACAATTTGTCTCAAAAATAAATAGACATTTCTAGAAATTGCATCCAACATGTTGTTGGTGAAGTTGTGGATAATATGGAATGGAGACAAAAATGCAATTCTGGTAATGGAGGTCCCAAAAACTAAATCCTGCCAATAAATGGAGGTGCATCACAAAATGAATGCCCAGAGTGGAGTTACCACAGGTCTGTGTGATGCACTGGCAGGAGCTGCTATTTGCCAATCCTGTTCCGAATATCCCATTATCATTCCCAACAGTATTTTATAAGAAAAAACCTACAGAGTGCCAAATTAAATTGCAATGTATTGCATTTGATATAGTGCCTTATCACGTCTTCAAAACATCTCAAAGTGTCTGTTATTTGAAACAGGTTAGAAATACATTGAATGCAAAATTTGGACTGTAAGCACAGCCTATGTCCTTTTGATTGTTATCCTGGGCAACACACTACTTTAATATGTATAGTCTCCCAAGTAATATTAGAGCATTCATGGCAGGATCCACTGCAAATATTTTCTGATCTGATAATTTTAATCTTAATTAAAAATGCATTTGTATGTTTTTTGCACACTGTCTCCAGTGACAGGTTAAAGAGAGAAACAGAGAAAGAAAGAAACAAGCAAACAAACAAACATAGAAACAGAAGTAGGCCATTCAGCCCCTCGAGCCTGTTCCGCCATTGTATAAGATCATGGCTCATCTGTACTTCAACTCCAATTATCCACCCTTACCCCATATTCCTTGATATCCCGCCGAATGACCTCAGTCTTGAAGATATGAATGGATCTAGCATCCACAGCCTTTGGGTGAAAGAGCTCTAGATTTCCACTACCCTTTGGGAGAAAAACTGCCTCTGCATTCACTCCTAAATGGTTTAGCTCCAATTTTAAGATTATGTCCCATTGTTCTGGATTCCCCTATCAGAGGAAATAGTTCTTCTGAATCTACCCTATTGAATCCCTTTATTATTTAAAAAAAACTCAATCAGATCACCCCCTCAACCTGCTGAACGCAAGTAAGAAAGAAAAATGACCTGAATTTTAAAAAATAAATCAGAATGGGTATCAATGCAGACTCACATGTATTGAAAGCTCCATTGGGAAAGAGTGCTGTGAAGACACAATGTAATATGGTGCAAACAATACGGGAGTCTAAAATGCAATATTTCCTTAATGAAGGATCAGGGTATGACGTCTGAAAACTAGCAGTACATCATGCTAACCTGAGGGAACTCGGGACTAATGGAATTTACTTCTAGATCAGAATTCATGCCCACTGACAGGAACTGGGTTCATATTATGAAAGATTCCTTATTAAAGAATTCAAAGAATAAATAATCCTTGTACTATACGATAGCATGTTTCACGTCAGGAACAACAACAATAACAACATTACATTTATACAGCGCTTTTCACATCAGGAGGATATCCCAAGGTGCTGGACAGTCAGGGGTCAGGACCTGAGCATGGGGTAGGGGTGAGGGAAGGCAGAGAGGTGGGAGAGCGACCGAAAGCACAATCGAAGAGGAAGGTCTTGAGACCGGCCTGGAAGGATGCAAGGGAGGAAGCGAGGCGAAGAGACCGTGTGATGGAGTTCCAGAGTGTGGGGGTAGAAAGGCTGAAAGCCCAGCCACTGATGGTAGGGCGGGTTGTGCAGGAGACATGGAGCAGGCTGGAGCCCGCTGAACGGAGGGAGCGGGCAGGTTGGTAGGGAGTCAGCAGGTCAGAGAGGTAGGAGGGGGCAAGGCCATGGTTGGCCTTGAAAGAGTGGATGAGGATCTTGAATTCAATCCTCTGAGGGATGGGAAGCCAGTGGAGTCAGGCGAGGGTGGGAGCGATGGGGTCACGGAGCTTGGTACGCAAGAGTACACGAGCTGCAGAATTTTGGATGATCTGCAGCTTGTGAAGGGAAGAGTTGGGAAGGGCGATGAGGAGGGAGTTTCCATAATCGAGCATTGATCCGCGGGTGAGGGTTTCAGCAGCTTGAGGGGTGAGGCAGTGGCGGAGTCTGGCAATGTTGCGGAGGTGGTGGTAGGCTGTACCGGTCATCGCGCGGATGTGGGGGAGAAAGGACAGTTCAGGGTTAAACAAGACACCCAGAATCCTGACTGGCTTAGTGAGGATGAGTGTGCAGCCATGGAGGCTGATGCTGCCTGCTCCTGAGTTGCGGAGGCCCTAACGCGAGCCAATCAGGAGGGCCTCGGTCTTGCTGACGTTCAGTTGGAGAAAGTTGTCCCTCTTCCAGGACTTGATGTCGGACGGGCAGTTAGTCAGGACACCAGTAGTCTTGGAGTTGAGGGTGAAGGCAGAGATAGAGTTGGGTGCGTGTGGATGATGTCACCAAGGGGAAGCATGTAGAGGATGAAGAGGAGGGGACCGAGGACAGAGTCCTGAGGAACGCCGCACGAGATGATACTGGGGCTGGAGAAGCTGTTTGCAGAGACGAAGTGGAGGCAGTGTTAAAGGTAGGACCTGAAAGTCTTAAGTACTTTGCAGGATTTACTGTAAAGTGTAATGATTGTAATACCATAAATTAGACCCAGTATGTTCCTCAAAACTGACTAAATTTTTTAAATTAATATATTTGCCTGAAAATATTCTTGCATTCATCCTTTTCCCAATTATCCCTGCCCACAAAAACAAAATTATTTTGCTTCTCATTCTGTAATTTGACATTAAAACCATGACCAGAATGTGTTTGTTTCCTTCATTAAACTCTTTCTCTCAAACAGCGGAGACATGCCCCAAAAATGGATTTCCTTTTATGCTTTAGGTATCAATATATGATGAGGCTATTGGATAGAAATGGATGCCAGAAGCAACAGTAACAATTTATTTTTACATTGCACTTTTCATGCCTCAAGGACATCTTAAAGCGCTTCACAGCTGACTGGGATCCTTGTACATTCATTTGCACTCAAATAAAAACACATCTCAGATGAGATTTTTCATATGTAGACATACAATATTTAATCAAATTCAAAACATTTTGAAATCGATATTGACATTTTACCAATTAGAAAAAGGCAATTGTCCATTTTAATGTACAGGTACTTTCGATCTAAGCACTAAAATGACACTATGGACCAGGAGGAAAAATAAATTATCCGCCATCCCAATTTCACTCTATTTGCATAACTTTCTTTTCATATGGCCTTGAATCTGATATAAGAAAATATTAAATTTTCTATATCATAGTCTTTATATTTTATTGAAAATCCAAATACAGGGCTAATGACAACACAAATCTGCCTGGCATCAATTTGTAATGTTACCTCAGGTTTCTCCCCAGTAACAGATCAAATGTTATTTATACCACTAGGTATAAAGGCACAGTTTCATAGTTTGCATTCATTCTGTTTATTTGAGCACTCTAAATACAATGCAGCAAATTATGTCAATAGGTTATATCAAAATTCAAATAAAATATTTAAGTAAGATGTTCAATCCAGCATCATGCCACAACAAACCTGGAAAACTTTTTTGAAACATTGTTTATTATTAATAATAATAATTCTTGCACTTAATATGGCACCTTATCATACTGAAAGTTCTCAAACACTTCACAGAATTTTCTGTAAAGTGTAGTTACTGTATTTTGCACATAAATGTGGCAGCCAACTTTCATTCAGCGATGTTCCATCAATAGCCATGAAGTGAACAACCTTTTTTTATTGAGGGGATTATTGGTCATAACACCAGAAGAAACTCTCTCCTTTTTACAAATAGAATCATGGGATCTTTAATGTCCGCCTAAAAAGGCAGACGGGACCTCAGTTTAATGTTTTAGTTGAAGGCAACACCTCCGACAATGTGGTGCCCTCCCAGCACTGTTTTGGATTGTCAGCCTGGACTATGAGCTGTTTGACTCTACCTGCACCTAATCCATAAACCAGGATTACTCATGAGTCCTTTTCATTTTTTTTTCACTTTTCATGTCAAATGTATGTGGAAGTTATTACTGTGGAGAGAATTCCACTCTGTATAGATGCATGTTCATTTCAAATGCTGTGTGTAATGAGAGGCTACATTATTTGTTAATGAATTAATCAGTTAACAAGGGTTGGTTTAGTTGTCTGGGAAAATAGAGCTAAACTTCCTATAAAAAGGGGCTAGAAATGTAAGTGAACCAATTAGCTTCAGATTCACAGTTAAAGAAAATAAGCTACAGTCACTAGCATTAAAGAAATTAACTTTACATTTAGTGAATGCTATTTTGTTTTTGTAACGTGCAATAAAAATACATATGTATATATCTGTAATTTACGGGAACAACCATTGACAACAAATACTTTCTGTATGTACATAACCGGCACTGTTAAGAAGTCTTGTACCTCACTGTTAAATAGAAGTGACACAGGTATTGGAACATTCAAATAATAATATAGAACAATATCTGATCCATTATTGACTATACCAATATCTGGACTTGCATTGTACAGTATTTATATCATAGCCTCCACTGTTTTGACACAATTGTACCATGATTACACAGGATTACATCAGATCATTCAAGTGCCAAGTATCATAAGAAATATTCCTATCCGCGGCCGAAACATCACGGAAAAAGATACAGTAAAACAGTGAAAGACATCAGGTACCAGGTAAGCAAAGGGTGCAACAAGTATTTATTGATTAATTGACCAATATTCAAGCTGCTACAACTTTAAATAAGTCTATGCATATTATGAAAAGCATTGTATTCTACCAAAAGCTGTACTTTGTCCAAACTTTACCAAAGCAACATCAGGTTTTGTCTTGCATGCCACTTTGAAGTTCACATCTTTGAACTTTGGTTTTCATCTCTCCTTCCTTTCTTTAAATAACAACTTTGTGATTAAGCAAAAAGCGTTCACTTTAGTTTGGTGTATCTTATTGAACTGCTGATCTCCAAACAGACTAGATGATATGCTGCTGACCTTTCAGGATAGTGTTGGTTCTTAAGCATTCTTACCCCATGGAATATATATTTAAGTCAAATCAGTGTCACTTCAGTTCATTCTCTTAGTGCCCAAGGTCTAAGAATCTCAAGTCCAGATTCACAGTCTGGGCTCCAGCTTGTCTTAACTGTACGGTATTCTTGTCTGTTAAAACTTCGATGCCATTGAAATAGCTAAATAATTTCAGTGAAGTACAGAAATTATACGAACCATCAATATGTGCTATAACAGTCCTTGTGATAATGACCTAATCAATGCTGCAGCTGAGGTAAACTTAGAACATGCTTGCCCACTGAAATCTTCCAGCATGTGTTCGATACCAGAAATGTAATACAGAGGAGTCTTCCAAAGAATACTGTCCTTCCTGAGCAAATTATAATTCTTAAATATATCCACACTAATATAATAGTGTAATAAGATATTTAGGCTGGCATATTCTATATTTTTTATGAGTATAGAATTACCTCCTGAATGATGAGAACAAGAGCTTGCATGGGTCTGTTATTTAACCAGGATACAACCACAGGGTTTCCATCAAATGTCCAGTATTACAGTGCTTGCTTATTTTGCAGAAGTCAAACTAAACCATGACATTTATATTGTCTGTAATTGGCATTGTGTTGCATTCACTGTACAACCCAAGAGCAACATAATACAGCAGGTCTTCTGAAGTACATCATTTTGAACTCGTATTCACTTACTAAACAGTCCTTAGTTTGCAGATCAGCTACATTTGAGTTCAGGTTCAAAGAGTGATGTCCCTGATAAATGTATCAATTGCTCCTTGTACAAGCCCCATAATTCAGTCTCTGCATCTATGACTGTTTATGTCCTGATGTCTTCAGCAATGCAATAGTGATATTGGATGAGCCCGATTTGTATTTCTTATACAAAGGGGACAGTTGCTGTAGTTTTGTCTTTATTTTCTCTTTCCAGATGGGTACAACATTTCCTCGGTCCCTTTGGCCCAGGTAGACCAATAATGTCAGCATTCAACACAGAAATAGGAAATCCACATTCCTGCATTTTCCATTTTGTTTCTCTTTATTTTCTCTTTCCAGATGTGTACAAGATTTCCTCGGTGCCTTTCACCCAGGTCTATCTGTAATGTTAGCATTCAACACAGAAACTGGATATCCACATTCCCTATGTCTTTCACTTTGTTTCAGCAACGTCTCCAAAAGGCTTATAAGATGCCAGAAACAAAACATACTTTAAATATACACATCAAAGTACTGTACTTGAAGCAGCAGTAGTTCACCAAATGATAACAGGAGTATCTTCCCTCCCCCCTCCCCCCTCCCCATCTGAATGCATTCGTCTTGTACTACATTCGAAAATTCTACACTGGCCCATCATCCAAATCAAGCATTAGTTTTTCAGTGAAAGTTTCACAAAACACATGGCAATCCACACCCTGGAATTGAAATCATGCTTCAAAACAATGAGACAGTAACATTTGATAATAGACGTTGATGCTGTACTACTCTTCTGCTGTGATCCTTTGATTACATTTCCCCCTTATATACATTTGCAACCTATTAATTTATAAAATTCATTATGTGGCTTTGTGTGTGGGGAGGGGGGAGGAGGGCAGGGCAAGTAGAGAGAGCATGCATGTAACTGGCTAGCTGAAATTATTACTACAATTTACAGAACTGTCAGGCATATGGTCAAATACCAGATGAGGAGATAGGAACAGCAGACATTGATATATCTCTTTGGCAGCCCCCTTTTATCGATGTCCTGACTGATGTTATAATTTTCCCCTTTGACTTGTGTACCTAATTTGCTGCAATTTTAAATGATCACTGAATGAGCTTCCTCACAGATAAACCTCTCGTCTTGTGAGTTGAGAGACAGAGGATGGCTTGAAATCTGTTGTCTGTGTCAGAGGAATATCTTCAGGGTTGGCATCCTCATTTTTAGGAAAGCTAGCTGTGTTGAAGGTCTCATATGATGAAGTCAGCCTCTTGTTAAGGAGGTTGCGGTTGCGATCGCCTATAATCTGAGGGGTACCATTAGCCAGTTTCTCCTGGCTGCCTCGCTCAGTGACAGGCATGAATGTGGAGAGCTTGGGTTGATTCTTTTTTCGTCTCTCAGGCGAGGTGCGCACTGGCATCCAACAGGAGTCAGAATGGCCAAATTCATCACATTCCCGCGTACATTTCCCTGTCAAGGCGACATCAGGCAAAGGCCTTGAATCTGAGGAGAAAATAAATTAAAGTTAGCACCTTGACTGATGCATAATTCATCAATGTATCAAATACAAGTTTAAATGGAAATATTATCCCTATAGATCCTTCCCTGTCCATGAGGGCACAACTTATATGAAAAAAAATTGAGATCCCCTTAAGGCCTTGAATTTTCACTTCACTCAACTCTTGTGGAATCATTTGAATTTCAAATATTGATACTTGAAATTCTTGCAATAAAATATGGAACCTTATTTTGGATAAATATTTGAAGAGAAACAAAATAAAGCTTACAAGAACTGAGCTAGGAATTGATATTAGAGTATAACGCTCTGGGGGATGAGCTGGTATACGTAGCAATAATAATAATCCTTGCATTTGATATAGCACATTATCATGTCTTTGAAATGTCGCAAAGCGCTTCACAGAATATGATGTAAAGTGCATTGACTGTATATTTTGTGGGTGAAATGCAGCAATCAATTGCACACAGCAATGTTCCACATACAGTCGTGGATTTAGTGACCAAATTATTATTTTTATTTTTTTGAAGGGATTTACCCCCGGAAAAGCAATTTGCCAATCGACCAACAACCAGGTTCCTATTTCTGCTAGGTAAACGGAGACATGTGGAATAAGGAAACTTGCCCTATTCAAGAATCAAACCCTGGTCCTCTCGCTTGCGAGGCGAGTGCTCTAACCACTAAGTAACAGGACTCCACAGCGTTTTAAGAAGTAGATAGCTTCCTTCAGTGATACAGTTTCTATAATTCTGACCAGAACTATCACATATGTCTGATTTTTGAGATTCATTAACATTGCCAAAGCATATACAATCTTATGATTGTTTCAAAATTATTGGGTCCAAATAATTCCATCATTCCATACATAAACCATCATATGAATTAATAATCGTTGCATTTTATATGTTGCCTTTGATGTCAGAAAGACATCTCAAAGCACTTCACAGGATTTATAAGTGCAATGATTGTGTATTTTGTACATGAACACGGCAATCAATTTAGGCATAGCAATATCCAACAAACTGACAAAGTTAATGGCTCAATTTGTTGACTAGGATCCTGGGAGAAACTCCCTTCTCTTTTCGAGTAGTGTCATGGGATTTCTTAATGTCCACCTGAACAGTCTACCTGATGGTACCTTGCATTAATATTTCATCCGAAGGACGGCACCTTCAACAATATAGGACCCACCTTCCAAGTCTGCATTGGAGTGTCAGCCTAGGTTAGGTGAGTTCAAAGTCAAATATGAAATGAAATAATGGTGAAAATATTTCTTACCAAATTCAAAGTATGTGTTGAAAACATGTATAATTTTGTCTGTGTATGTACTGGTAAAGAAAAGATGGGCAGCAAGGAGATGATTTTTGTGGAAACGGATTCTTACTGTTGCGAAGCATTTCCAACTTTGAAATCTATCTCCATATCCCGATTTAACTGCAATGCGTGTTGCTGTTTGCTGGCAATGATAGATAACAGAACTTTTCAAAACTGTCAGCCCATCAGTCCTTGAATCACTATGTGGCCTAAGAATTGTGTGAGAATCAAAACTTCTGCTGCTTGTTAAACTAAACTTGTATTCAGTTTCAGTTTCTACTCCCCGAAGATCCCGAACCGAAGTAACAATTTATTACAGTTTCCAAACTGAGCAAAAAGAAACCTGGAGTAAAGTGACTCTTTTAGTGTTCCTTGCATTTTTTATAGCGCCTTGACATGTCTTTGAGATGTCTCAAAGCGCTTCACAGAACATACTGTAAAGTGGATTGACTGTGTGTTCTGTGGACTAAACGCGGCAGCCAATTGTGCATAGCAGTGTCCCACAAACAGTGGTGGATTAAGTGACCAAATTATTATTATTTTTTGTGGAAGGGATTATTCCTGCCAGAAAAGCAATCCACTTATTGATTAACAAGCGGGTTCCTACTTACTGCTAGGTAAGTTTTGCCCAATGTTTCGCCCTGGCCAGAATTGAATCAAGGTTCTCTCACTTGTGAGGCGAGTGCTCTAACCAATAAGCTACAGGAATCTTGTTACTTTAATTGGGTTTAAAGCCAGAGGAAAGTAGTTTTTTTTTAAATCAGCGATACATTGCTCAGCTCTTCAGGAATATGAACTCCATAAAAGTAATATCCATATTTTCATTTCATCGTTTTCTTGAGATGAAATTTCATTNAAAAAACTGCAATATTTTAGTAACACAGGAAACCATTCAGATTAAATTGCATTTCAGAAACTCTTTACTGACCATATGCTTCTGTAAATTGAATTGAATTTTAATTGAAAGTAATATAAGCATTTTATTGATTAAATCTAATCAGTTGAAACGTTGATTTAACTGCAGTGGTCTGATCAGACATTCCTCTGTATACTGTTCACCATAGTCAGCAATTATTATTTTATGTTTGATTTCCAAATTATATCCCATGAAACATTACATTGCACTGAGGACAAAAAAAGCACCACCATGAAGATGTTATATGCAGAAAAATGATTATTTGTGTGGCCTTAAAAGTGGATTTGGGATTCCTTTGCTATTACTGTAATATTTGCTCTTTGTTTGAAAGAGTCAGCATCTTTCCATGTACCTAAGGCTTGCAGCAGCTAAACAGCAACTTAACAGTGCTAAAGCAGTACCATGGCCCCAGGGCCTGAAATCCTGTCAATGCCAATAATGGCTTTACTTTGCACATCAGCAATGTTATGTGGCATCTGTGAGCCAGATTTGCTGAATGAAATAAAATAATCATCCAGTGTTTGGGACATGCGAAGAGTGCCAACAATTTTAATGTTTGATAATCACCTATGGTCACCTTGAGTCCCATAACAGGATAACAGCAAATAAAAGTGACAGTCATGCTTCTCACTTTGTGGCACGTTTCATCGGAAAAGGACATTTGTACGATCTAAATTACTCGCACAATTTGTGGAAAAATTACATGATTTTGAGGTACGGTTTCAGCCACTTGTGAAATTGTAGTTACAAATATAATTGTACATACAAAGAGGGTGTGTGCGTAAATATACTAATGTAATGCTTTGATATCAATATATATTACATTAGAAAATAATATATGCCATCAACTCCTTGCTTTAATATATGCCATCAACTCCATCATCTCTTTTGCTCCTGTTTAGAAATTGCCTTCAGCACAAAGAAAGCAAAACATATAAACATTTCAGGCCACAATAGGGCACATTTGCCAACAAAATACACTGTCACTACACTTTACAGTATATCCTGTGGAACAATTTAACTCCTGACATGAAAGGTGATATATCAAATGTAAGAATTATTATTGTTATTATTATTCCTCTGAATCACATGTCTTAGTCTTTGATTGAGCAAAATAATTTGTGAAATATTTGTTTGGACAAGGTATGGTATTAACAATCAATGTTACTGTTTCAACTTCATTATTACATGGTAACGAATTGAAATACAGTATGTGTTTACCATTTACTGAACTGGAGTAATAAATTATTCTATCTATTAAACAATAACAAATTCATTTATATAGTGCCTTTCGCATCGGGAGGATGTCCCAAAGCGCTGGACAGCCAAGGGTTGCACCTGAGCTGAGGGCTGGAGTTGAGGGGTGGAGGAAAAGGGGGTGGTGGTGGGAAGATGACCAAAGCCACAATTATTGTGCCCAGAACACAGATTTGTACAGTTGGTACAAATATTCTTAATTTTACAATTTGTTCTAGCATTTGGAATAACGTTGTTAATGTATTTAGGTGTCAGCCTGGCTCAATCGGTAGCACTCTCAACTCCAAGTCAGACAGCCTCTCTTTGGGACTCTGTCTACAAAATACACTGTCAGTACACTTTATTGTGTCCTGAGAAGCTCTTTGAGATATCCTGCTGACATGAAAGTCCTATATGCCAGGATGATTATTAGTTCTGATCTGGCACTGAATTTAATTTCCTTTCATCTCCTACTAAGTTGGTCACTGCCATTTAGCTGAAGTTTCACAGAACAAATTGTCAGCTAATTCAATTGATAATAATATCCATTGAATTTTCGATACTCAAGCCATATTGACATTAGAAGGAGATGACTGCAAATGGGCAGACAATTCATAGCAGCGTCAGAAGTAAAATACTGAAATGTACACCTTTCACTAAAACAACTACTCACACGAACAATTTAACAGATCAAGATATTTTACTGCATTATACACTAAATAATGGGCATAATGGATGTAACTTCACCAAAATGCTGTTACTGCATAACTTTAGGCTTAGAAAATGCATCAATATTAACGTTATGTAAAAGTACACAACTGATGAGACTATCTGAGTTGCTTCTATGGCAGAGGATGCAGGATTTCCAGTGCCTTGGGACGTCCTCCCGACTTGAAAGACGCCATACAAATGTAATTTGTTATTGTTGTTGATTTATTTTAGCATCATTCCACTGGTAAACTGATGCAGCAACAGATTTCACCCATTTGTGCAGGTAACTGCAGGGTGGGTCTATGCTGCTTCTTCTTTGGGAGCCATATCTGCGGTCAACAGTTCTCCGCTTGGAAATCAGCTGTAGGAGGGGGAGCAATTCCACCATTGTGTCCTTATTTGCTCCATGTATAAAGGACTGTATAAACACTGTTCAGCATGTCACCAGGAAGTTTATGGGTGCAAATATATGGTTCGTATCTCAGTGGGGCATGGGCTATTTCCATATTTTATATGCAGAAAAGCAAGGTGGAATATACCAGTTATTTTGATAAATTTGTGCATCAACCTGGGTCATACGGTAGCACTCTAGCTTCTGAGTCTGAAGGGTGTCCAAGTCCCACGTCTCTGAACTCACATAGTCTAACTTGACACTCTCGTGCCGTGTGTGCTGGTGTGTGTTACATTGTTGAAGGTACTGTCCTTCGGATGAGATGGTAAACCAAAGCAAAAGCAGAGAGAGCTGGGAAAACTCAGAAGGTCAGGCAGCTTCTATGGAGAAAGGAAAATGAGTCAACGTTTCGGTTCCAT